CTGCTGCCAGCAGTTCAACCTCAGAAACTCCTTGACTTGAGGATCTACTTCCTTGGGGAACGAGGTATGCTTCTCATTTTTGTATTTGAAGACTTAAAGTAACTATTCATTAGCATAGTAGAGATTTGATTTTTGATTTTAAAATGTGTTTGGTATTTTGTTCTCAACACGACTGTCCCTTCCAAGAGCTCCTGCAGGATTCACAGAAAATGCTGCTACCTCTGAGGGACTGCAGTCAGGAAGCAGAAATGAAGAGGATGCCATTGTCTGATCTCATGTGGCACCAGCTGAGCTCAGTTCTTTCTGCCCTCCTGCACAGCCAGGAGGACACACCCATTTTGCACCCAGCTCCAGCACTGTGACCATTAATGTTCAGTGCTTTGAAAACCTCTGTGCCAGGTGTTAAAGGTGGGGGCAGAGGGAATGTGGGGAAGAGCAGCAGATGAGAGGGAATCCCTTCCCAAGGGCACAAAACCCACCAGTGCCCTCAGGTGCCAAGCTGGCAGCGGGGCTGGCTCAGGGCAGCACTTGGGCACCAGCTGGAACAGGCAGCACCAGAAACCTGCAGGTGGAACTGAACATGTGTCTTCCCTTCCTAGAGGGACTCCTCAAACTCCCGTCCCAGGAAGGGGAGGCCAGTTTGTAAAACTCACCTGACAAGCTGAGCAATCTGAAGAAGGGATTTTTAACACAGTATTACTCAGTGACAGTAGATCTTAATCATCTTTGAGAATTAAAGTTTAAGCTTCCAAAGGCAAGAGGAGAACAATTCTTCACTCTCAGACTGCATTCCAGTATCCTCTGAGGACAGGGAGAGTGAATGAACCAGCCATCAGTTACACATGCCAGCCAAACTCCATCTCCATGCACTAGAACCCAGAGGTACCAGCCTCCTGCCCCAGGCAGGAGAAAAGCACCACAGCACAACATTAAACCAACCACCAACAGCAGCTACTGGAGAGTCACAGAGACACATACAGCAACTGCCTGTTCCTTTCTTCATACAGTTCTAAAAATTTAATTGAAATAATCAGATATACTTTCTTTTTTTTAACATCACCAACTCCTCTCCTTAAAGAAGAGGTCACTTTACCTTTGTTATTTTTGTAGAGTTCCACTACACAAGTTTACCCAACATCATTTTTCAGCTAAAATATTTTGGAGTGAGTTCCCTCCATGCAATGTGCTCCTTCAAATCCATCCTGTGGCTTTTAATGCCTAGGGAGGCATGCATCTGCACGGCCAGGATGTCACCAGGCTGCACCAAGTCTTCTTCCCCACCAGGGATGTCTTGGTATCTCTTCTCCTGATCTCTCTCACATTATGCTCTGACAATCAGCAAGAGCCTTTGACAGTAAGGACAAAGCAGACCCCATCTGTAAAAACTGTGTCTGAGGGAGGGGAAGAAAGGGAAAAAAAGGGCAGGCTGTCTGAGCTGCTCGCTGCAATTTAACATCTCTGGACTCTCAATTGCTTCTTCCATCAACTTCCTGACAGGCGCCTTTACAGAGACCTAAATCATGGCAGTCTATTGTGAAAAGTGAGGAGTACAAAATGTCAGGGTCACCAAAGAGCTCGTGCGAGGTGTAACCATCAATGTCCTTGTCAGGAATTTAGCAAACCTCCATGAATCACTTTAATTGCAGGGGAAGCATTTACTTCCAAGGATGCCAGGTTTTCCCTTTGGATGGGCTCCATCCTCACCTCTGCTTTTGGAATGTGGTCTAGAGAACACTGGGATACACACTATCAGACTTCGGGCTGAACACTGGGATACACACTATCAGACTTAGGGCTTCAGAAAAGGAGACTCTTTGGTACTGATGTACACCTAGGAACACGTGCAATAATTTCACATAGAAAATAATGTAAGTGTATTTCACTTTTTGCCCTTCCAGGAAAAAAGGGAGCGTGTACCCCTGGTGAGGGGTAGCACGGGAGGGCACAGGCTGTGCCAGCATCCCAGCACTGCTGAGGCAGGAGCAGCACAGTCACCCTGCTCAGAGACAACGTGTCCTCAGCACAGCACAGCACGAGCACCACGGGCCGTGACTGGGCTCCTGAAACCTTGGCAAGCTACTTGAGAAAGACAAAACGTTTGAGGTTCTTAAATTATTTGTTTGCAAGTGCTGTAAAGCTTTGTACACCGGTGTTCCATCCTGTCATCTGCCTGTATAAAGATGTGAAAGAAGTGTTGCCATGAAAACCATCCTTTTGAGTATGATCCTCGCTCTGCGTTTACAACACTGGAGACTGATACCCTGTAACAATAGTGATAAAATTAAACACTCCATTTCAACAAAACCAGAGTCATTATGGAAGAAACTTTTCAGAATAACGTCTTCAAAAGGAAAGTTCTTCCTCAGCTCAAGTCCTAACAAGCAATGACTATATTCCCACCAGGCAGTGTTCACAGCACCCCTGTTACAGTAGCATTTACTGGAGCACTGACGTTCTGAAATATGCTCTAACACCTACTGAATTTTCTGGAAGAAAATCAAGGGGCTGAAAGCTGCCTTGTCTAGGTTTAAAGGCAAACAAAGAATTCTAGCTTAACTACTACAGATAAAATAATAAATAAATTAAACCCCCCCAAGCTGCAGTATTTCAGCGTTTGGACTAGCACATGGGGGATTAAATAACTGCAAAGACATCTTAACTTGGGGCAGCCATGGTGACACCAGCCCATTACAGAGACCATGGTCCTGTCAGCACCAAAAACCATCACTCTGCCACCAGCTGCCTTCAGTCACTGGCCCAAGAGGCAACATAGCCCCTGCCTGGTCCCATGGAAAGCAGCATCTCCTTTCTCTTTGAGTCCACCCCCTTGCTGCCCCGTTAGGATCCCTGCCAAGGCCAGGCTCTGCAGCCCTGGCAGGGTTTCCTCGCCCCAGGTAGGCACTGTGTCTTAGAGACAGCACGCACCAGAGGTGTTTATGTTACAGAATAATTTCTACATTTTCTCAAATTACTTTCCTTTTGCCATCTGATATCTTGGCATTTTAGTTTTCCTCCTTCATTTTTAATTCGGCTCCTACCAAACCATTATTCATCAATAATCAACAGACATGAAAACATTAATAATTTCCTGTCTGTGACATTCGACAATACTTAAAATGGAAACAAAAATTAATTTTAGTCTCAGATTTGTTATTCCT